GTCTTTCGTTTTTCATCATAATCTGGATTACCCAAAATTATGTAAACGGTGCCTTTAAGCGCTCTAGATAGAAGAAAAGATCTCTCGTGCCCGTACCCTTCGAGCAGAGTCCGGTCCAGCCGTCTGCCATAGTTCCACCACCTCTGCTTTTGACAAATTTGAACTCGGTCTAACATATACCAAAACTCACACATACCGACAACCAACAAACACTCCCAGTGTGTTGTTTATAAGAACAGAGTGCCCCAAAATTATGAGCACGATTTCATAGCAACATGTTTCGAGCTTCTCAACTGAGAAAGACCATGGAATTTCCATGCACGTTAGCTACCACCATTTGCTACAACACGCTACAATCACATTTCAAAATACCCCCATCAGGCTCTCGATCTGATCGCATGTGACACGCAGGTACCCTTCTTCATTTCCTCCCAGATCTTCCTCAGTCTTGCTTTCTAGGACTCTAAAGTGGGATTGCAAATTCAACAGGTCCTCTCCTAATCAGAGACCATACGGGGGAGTCAAGTGAGTCAAGTTCTAGCAAATAAGATGGCCATTAATTTTCACCGATGAAGTCGGGCAGCTGTCGGCGGCACCACTCAATGGCAAGCCTGGCCCTGTGTTATGGAGAAGCGTCATGCTGGAAGGTCTACGAGATGTTTCAGAAAACCTAGTCGGATCAGGGTTTTATTACGTCTATCAGTACGCTCTTTAGGCACTTATCTTGGTCAATTTTCACGCCGGCACCTAGGGAGCTACAAGCGTCTCACCCTCGCCAGTGACTTCCTAAAAAACATCAAATTTTAAAAAACAAAATATTTTACTGTTCTCGTAACAACCTTTTTGTGAGAGATTGCACGTTAGGTGTTTCTATCTGGAACGCGAACGTTTTGGTGGCTGAGGGATGGTCTTATCGTAGAATTTCTTTGCCGAAAAAGCGATGAAGGGTTACGTGTCATTGCTCCAGTGGGTCTTCGACGTTCTGTATTTTTTATCCTCGCAGTCTATGTTGAGATCGGAATTGGAGCGCAATTTCTGCTTACCATAGGAATGGTAATGAAGCTTCTGCATGGCATTCCTCCATCGCGACAACTCCGATAAGCCGTGCCCGTTGACTTCCTTTTGATGGGTCACCCAGGATCACAACCAGCTGGCAGACGGACCATTTTAATAGTCCTATCTTCAGAAACACTGGCATTTCTGCCTTTCCTGGTTTGCCTCTGATTCAGTCTCCTTTTCCATATCGTTTAATAGCCTCGTATATGGTTATTATAAAAATCCCAAGGGATTTCATACTGCCCTTCCACCTCTCGCGTGTCAATGATTGCAAATGGGTT